CGCGGACCCCGGACCCCCGACCCCCTCCCGGAAAGGCGGCGCGAGGCCGCAGAGCCGGCCGAGCACCCTCCGCGTGGACCGCAGGGAGCCAGCCCCGGCGGTGTGCACCCGTGGGGCGGTGGGGGTGTCGGCCTGGAAGTCCTCAGCAGGAGGCTCTGGGAGTGAGATGAGCACGGGCACCCCAGCTCCCGCCTCGCGGCCCAGACTTCCAGACTTCTTGCGGGAGACCTGGGCGCGGGGTGCAGGTGGGGGCCAGTTTCATGCAGCAAAGCCAGACTACCAGGAGGACTATAAGAAAGCTGAAGAGAGCGACTGATTTTTGACTTAGTAGCCGTGTACAGTTTTGGAGAGCTGGAGGAAGGACAGGACACTTGGGGACACGGAAGCTCCATAACGCGCACGGTTATTTGTGGGTGGCCGGCACTGCTCAGACTGGAGAAGCTCAGGTTTAGGCTGAAGATTTTTCCAAATATGGGAAACCGGAAGTGGTGAGATCAACGTTATCAGCACCATCTAGCCTCAACGGCTTGCAGGACGATTTTTTCTGGTAGAAAATTGGGATGTTAGCTGGGAAAGGTGGCTCTGGTTTAAAGGAGAGGGGTCTGAGCTGGTAGGCAAAAAGGGGCCAGAAAGCCACTCAGGTGCACCGGGAAAATGTGTCTACCATCCCGGACTGGAAGCGGTCAAGTGTGGCATGTCACACGTTAGGGTTGTCTGTGTGCTTTCCAGTGGGTGCCGGATGGGGTGGGGTTGTTGCTGTGTTGACTTTTTTTTGGTGGGGGGAAGGACTGGATTTGAATTCAGGCCTGGAGACTGTCCTGTAGTGGATAGACTAGGTGTTTTTGCTCAAGATTAGGTGTTCTACCACTTGAGCCACAGCTCCACCACTACTACTACTGTTCTTCCTCCTCCTCCTCTTTTTCTTCTGCCTAATTAGAGAGAAGAGTCTCTTGTACTTTCCTAGGTGGAGTGGCTTTGAATTGTGATCCTCAGATCTCGGCCTCCTCTGAGTAGCTATGATTACAGGTGTGAGCCACCAGCATCCAGCTTGTGCTGCTGGCATTTCTAATGCCAGGAGTGCAGTCCTGTCAGCGAATCTTTTCACCTGCATGGCCTGCAGTGCTCACTTGAGAACCATGTTGTTGACAGGACCTGCCTCAAAGAATGATTCCTGGATTAGGAAGGGCAATGATGATGCTGACTTAGATTTGATAGGGAATAATGTATGGAAACTGCCTGAAGAAGCTATTAAAATTGAGCTACTAGTGAATTGTGACAGACATTGTAAGAAGATAATCGTGCTCAGTATGAGGGTGTGCTAACTTTGTTATGGAAAAACATCATCAAGCATGTAATAGTTGAACAAGGGAGAGAAACACTGTGTTCCCAATCTTGTTTGACCCCTGCCCCATCTTGCATTATTCTGAATCAGATCCCACACATATCATTCTTGCTGAGCAGAGGACTGTTTTGATGAAATCTTACACAGCTTATTTATGTTGCTTAAAAGGAAAAGAGCAAGGGAAAAAAAATGGGGTTGGATTTCACATACCAGGATCTCCTATGGTATGTGTGTTTTCTTCCCCTTTTCTGTTTTCCGCTGGGTTTTTCTGGGGAAAAAATACTTGTAGCTTATTAAAAGAATGGGTTTCATATCTTCTGTAACTTCTCTTTATGCTTGCTAAACCTTGCCCCTCCGTACTTGCTAAGCAGCATCCTCATTCTTGTAACATTTGGAAGGATGGCATCTGGTCATCCTCAAAAGTCCTGTGCCTACATGGCTCAGCTTTCCAAACCAGCTGATTATCCTATCTGGAGTGCCCTCACCCCTCCCTCCCTGTCACCCCAATCTGTCTTTGTGTGGTTGGCTGCCCTGCAAGGTTCCCCTACCTTCCTCAGTTCTTAACCATTTATTTCTGCTTTGGTTATGTTTTCTTATGCTGTGTTAAAACAGAATTAATCTCTCTCCCTCTCTCTCCCTCCTTTCCCCTCCCCCTCCCTCTCTCCCTCCCTCTCTCTCCCTCTCCCTCTCCTTACCAACCACCCTCCCTCCTTCTCCTCCCCCCCTCCCCCACTAGTGAGTTTGCTCACCAGGCCTGGGGCTTGAAATCAGGCCCTGGGAGCTGTACCTGAACCTCTTTGTGCTCAAGGCTAGTACTCTACCACTTGAACCACAGCTCCACTTCTGGCTTTTGTTGGTTAATTGGAGATGAATCTCTTGGACTTTCCTGCAAGGACCAGCTTCAAACCAAGGTCCTCCGATCTCAGCCTCCTGAGTAGTAGCTAGCATTACAGGCATGAGCAACTGTTGCCTGGACAGAATTTCTCTAAGTGTGGTGGTGTTTTTTGGTTTTTTTTTTGGATGGTGGCAGGAAAAATATTTTCCTAATTATGTTCTATGCTTTTTATCTGTGACTTCATAAATATTGTTTTGGCTGTATGTCCGGGATGGGGATGGGGGATGGCTAAGATCTCCAGCATATTTGATAATAGGTTTCTTGTCCTTGTTCGTCAGCTGCCCATGGCCTGTCTGTCCATCCTGATCATTGCCTATGGCTCTCAAATGATGTTATAAAATGGAAGGGGCCCTCAACAGAAACAGGGCTCCCCACCTCTGCCGAAGCAGTCACCATTCTAGCTGTAGATCTGAATGGCAGGCTGAACTGCCTTGAAGATAAGCTGCCAGAAAATGGGCCAGAAGTGCAGAAAGTGCTGGCACAGAGCCAACCGCGCACGGTCACTAGGGTTTGATAGCAAGTCTGGGATTTGACTGCATAGGGAAGGCTCAGAAGTGAAGAACAGAACATAGATGTTTCCCAGCCCATGGAATTAAGCTGCTTTCGTCATGCTTTCTAACTTTGTCTTGAACTAGAATATGAAGTGTTCTTTTTTGACCTCAAGGAGCCTTTCTTTGGTGTTTCGTGATACAACTTAAGTATTGTTTTTCCATTTTTGGTAAACATACCTAATTGCCAGTCAGTGTTAACAGTTGTATGATCACAAGCATACACACACATGCGTGCGTGCGCGCGCGTATACACACACACAGCCTGATTCAATGAAATGTGCAGCTTATTTTTTACAGCTTTTTTCTTTAGTCCTTTGGAAATGCTTACCACAACCTGGCAACCCCCCTTACTCCTTTTATGGACTTAGTTGTAGCTGAGAACACTTGGTGAGGAATTGGAATAAAGAAATCTCTCTCAGAAAGTAAATTAGTTGGCAAATAAAAACTTGATTCTTTATTCTTTATATAATATAAATCAGTTTGTGCAGGAGTGACTTTTGGTGGAACAGTTTTGTTTAGCTGATTCACTTCATTATATCCAAGAAAGTCTCTCCTGTAATAGGAAGATCCTAAGTCAGAATCTGAGCTGGGCGCTGGTGGCTCATGCCTGTAATCACAGCTACTGAAAAGGCTGAGATCTGAAGGTTTTAGTTTGAAGCCAGCCCTGGCAGGAAAGTCCATAAAATCTCGGAGGAAGAGATTTAGTCTTCACTTAGTATCTCTATAAAATAGCAGGAATGGAATAGAAATAACGTAGACAATACCACGTGCCCTGTATGAGGGTGTATGTAGGAAAGCTCTTTGGCAGTAATGCTGTATTCTGCAAATAGTAGAAATAAGATACCAAGTGTTTCCAAAATAAAATGTGCCACACGTGGTTTCATCGTGGTGACACAACATTTTATTTTGGAAATACTTCATAACATATTCTCATGGGCAATCAGGCCATGCTGTTGACATCTTCAGTTTTGTTTTTCTGGTCTTATGCACTGATGGTGAGCTGATGGCCACTGAAGAGCCTTGTTTGCTCATCCCTCCAAGTGGACTTGGGGAAGCCACGGGGGAGACAGTGCTGACCTTGGGCTCCTGACTTACTTTCTGGCCAGAAGCAACCAGTGTCTTCAGTTATTTGACAAGTGTAGAGCCAGA